CACACACGCGCGCGCGGCGAACGAGTTTTTTCGCGAGTAGCGCTCGGTCGTTCCGTTAGGTCGTATCTGCTTTTTGAAACTCGGGGCGTAAAGCTGCCAAGTGTACTTTCGCTCGGTCGATCGATTATCGAGCCTAACATTCCGGCGGAGAGTGATCGTTTAGCATTTTGTTACCGTATAAAAGCACTCGACAGAAGCTGCGCCGCGCGGACGTGCACACGATGCCCAAGCGTTTCAGCTGCCTCATCCGTACTTTCGGCAATAGCCAAAGACAAGCGAGACTTTGGGCTTCTACGTGGCTGGCGAACAGTCGACGCATACCGATGCCCAGCAATTGCCATCCTCGGACAATGCGGTGCTCGGCATTTTTCCGCGCCCATGCGTGTCGCGCCAGCGGAACCTGCTTCCGACACACACGCACACCGCGTGCACACGGCAGACGCCTGCGCGGACCAGGAAGCCGTTTTTTGTTCGACGATTCGAGAGGGGATCGACTTTGCGGAATGTCGCTCGAGCCGCTTCACTGGCTGTCTGTGATAAGGCCGCGCGCTTGCGAACAGAGCCGCGAGCACTGCTTTTTTCAAAGTTACGTGCACGCAGTTATCTGCGTATCCACGCGTGCTCGGGTGCTCGGGTGCTCGGGTGCCCGACTACGAATTCGGCTTTCCGAGCGTTCACCTTTCGCGGAAATGCAATTTCCCTCGGAAGGATAAAGGTATCAAGGTCATTTGGTCTGTACGCAAGTTCATCAACAGCCAACTTTTCGATGCATGCGAGAATCGGTTTGGCTCAAGGCCTCGCGATTGGCGAAAACCTCACGAAACAGCAGAGCAGAACGTGGACACGCCATGGACACCTGCGCGTAACGATAGAACGCGTAGGTATATGTGCAATGGCCGACGACCCGATATACGGTCGTTCACCTCCCGCATCCACCTCTGCAAACTTCAGCTTGGACGTTTAACCGCGGCGCGCGTCTATTAATGCGACGCGAGGACTGCGATCATCATCGCGATTGTTAACCTATTTTTTTAATGGTCTTTTTTTTCATTTGCGTGCAAATTCTTTCGATAGTGTGCTCGGTCCACAATCAAATGTATCCCGTTCGGCTCTCCACGGCTTTCTTTCAATTATGTCAAATCAGATGTTATTTAGCGAAGTTTCGGCGACTTTTCGACTAAAGCGATCCCGCGAGCCTCACCTCTACAATCAAATCGCTCACCATCCGAATCGTCCAGTGAACGGATTCAAACAAGACAAGCTTGGCATGATTCAACGGCCCGTTAAGGCGATTTGCATGCGAAAATGGGTCAAGGGTCCGTCGGTTGTATTATTTTTCGGCTGTGCCATGTTCTCGGCCTGTGGCTGTCGCGAGTGCAGACTACAACCGATAGAGAGGGCCTCGGCCCGAGCAAGAGAGGGGCAGAGCGGCATATACAGTTAGCAAACTGGTTCTCTCCGTGTGGAGCTGCTAGAGAAACGAAGTACTCGGTACGCTGCCGAGATTTCTCTCTCTCTCTCTCTCTCTCTCTCTCTCTTTCTTTTGGGCCGTCCGAAGACGAGCCGCGAAAAGTCTTCGATGTTTCCTCTCTGTTTCTGTTGCAACTCGTAGTTTATGGTTATTTATGGCGGCTCGTGCACGTGACCTGGTACGGCGCGGCCTTTTCCGGGCGATCGCTGAGCTTGGCTACTGTCGACCTTTTCGTTTTTGAGGAAAAGTGCTGACGATGCAAGTGCTTGTCGACAAATTGCTTTCGATCCACTCGGTCAGTCTGGTGCCGTAGTCAAAGAAGAACAGTGTCGAGCGCTCGCTCGTACATCGCTAATGCTTCTTTGCGCGTCAATCGAACAAGCCGAATAAATAATAATTGTTCACGCGTAAAGCTTTCCTGGATGGCTTCCTTCGTGAAGAGTTAACTAGAGATTTATTGAAGTGCACTGGCGCAGGAGTCGAATGTTGCACAGCACTGCTTCACTTAATGATCGTCTTTATTGGCCTCGGTCACTGAGGCGAACTGGTAGAAAAAATTGAGCACAAATTTGATATCTGATCTTGAGTTCTTGTCACTCCTAATTGCTGGGCTGCATTCGAACTTGATCTGTCTCGTCGTGACCCAATGTATCGAACGGCGTCCGTAGTCAAATATCTAGAATGGTTCAGTGAGAAAGGGAGAGAGAGAGAGAGATAGAGGATTCGGGGTGACTATTAACTATCCAGTAACTGCAACTCAAAGAGGTAGAAAGGGCGGCTTGCTAGTCGCAAGAGAGTCGGAGATTCCTTGGTTATAGCATCTCGAACAACAGGTTTGATCGGGACATCGACTTTAATAATTGAGCGCTCTTTCCCCTTGTGACTCTAGCCATGGCTAGAGGGTGAAAATCAGCCAGGAGGAGGCACACCCTGCTGATGGCACGATCCAATTCATTTGCCAGTTGCAATTAGTTTCTTCAGCAATATTCCACAATAAGCGCATGGCCCAACCTAAGGGAACTTTAGATTCGAGGCATCAGTAGTCCATGTTGCCGGAACGCCGGACCAGAACTGTCGTCAAAAACGCAGTCACACGCCAAACATCAGCCAAACGAATATCTACTCTACTACAGACGATTTGAAAGAGACGCCGGAACAATAATAAACGAGCGAAAGGTTAGCACACGATTTGTCGCATTACCGATTGCTCGCGAGCAATGACCAAGAGCCGCTGCAATTTGCGTGAGCCAGCAGACGGATTTCGGCGCAAAGATTCGAGAGCCCACGCGTTTTTATCGCAACTGCACGTTTTCCCCCACCGGCCCAACGAATGCTCGTGTCATCCGACAATTTGACTCAGCGCGCATCGATCATGCTGTGAAAGTGATCACCTTCCAGAAGCAACACATCGCAACGGCGCAGCGTTGCGAGTCCGGTAGCACCCCGTGGGGCACTGCAATGCTGCGGCTTGTTCAATCGTCTTGAGCGTAAGCATGGATTGACGTCCATGCTGTGTGCCGACGGATCGTCGAGACAATTATCAATCAACAACTTGATTTTTGAGTTAGAATGAACGATTCACAAGTGCAGCCACTCGGAATGTTATGCCGAAACTTTTCTGAGGATTATGCCACTCGACGAAATCTTGCCTACTCACTGGATGCGCGCTCGTTAAATGCCGATTGGATCCCAATTATTCACACGGCGACAAACATTGCGAGCGCTCGGATTCGTGATAGATATAGTGATTGACGACAGACTACATCCGTCATCGTTTGATAGTGAGAGCGCCAGCCAGTTGTCAAAGCTGTCAGCTGTTGTTTCGCGAACAACTTATTCAACGACATAAGCTTACGTTTTGCTAATTGACTTTCAGCAAATTCTGATTAATTTTATCGCGACGCGTGTACAACTAAACAATCACGATCGATCTATAGCAAGCAAAGCTCACTCGTTGACGAGCACATCAAGAAAGCAGTACAGAGTGAAAAACACGGTATCGCCGAAACGACGGAACGACTAGTTTATCAGTGTCGTAATGCAGTCGGCAATGAAGTTTAGCTGCGAATGAGCGCCGAAAAATAGCAATTTTTGTCCAGCAGCCCGAAGGTAGCATGTGCTGGCCGCGGCTCACTTGCTGACATGCTTTTGGTCTCACTGGCAAAAACATAGCGTACGACCCATCCGCTATGGACTTACCAATACTGTCGCGGTCGCAGCTTTTAATTCACTATCTCTCTCCTTTTCCGCTTGTGTAGGCGCGCGGCACCTTACCATGGTTTCCGCGACAGCCGCTGTGCGCTCCTGATTTTTTCGATGGTATTAGTGGCTTTTTTCCACGGGATCGCGATCCTTTTATTTCAAGTTGACATTCGAATTGACAACTCGTCCAAAGCAATATAATCGTGGTGCTTTGTCGCCGTGCCACTCGTCTCAAAAAGCTTCGGTACATTAAAACTTTTGCCCACGCATCAATCCGCCGCGTGCAACGCCATAGATTTGTCGCCGTGGCACGTACCAAGGCGACAAGCTGAACTTTGAAAATATCGTGCAGGCCAAATGAAATTACAACTGCGCTCAAATTAGTTGCACAACTTAAGTTCTCGACGGACTAGCCCAGTCTACTCTCTCTCTCTCTCTCTCTCTCTTTTGAAAATAAAATAATAATAATAATAATCGAAATGTAACGGTCGTTGGAGTCGAAAAGGAAAGAGGTATGCAACTCGCAAGTGTATGTGGACAGGAAGTAGTGGCATAGCGAAAGCCGTGTGTGTATGTTTGAAAGTGGGTAGCGACAATCGTCCATTATATGTTTGCGGAACGTATGATTCGACAGCCTCGGCGACCAAACAATTAATTATCCTTGCGCAATTGTCTCTTTGCATCGCTGCTTCTTTTCTCCGTTGGTTTTTGTCGGCGAACAGTGCCGAGAGCGCTCGACTCGACAAACAACGCCAAAAATGATTCCGCCCGTTTCATTTCTCCACTGTCGCGGACTTGTCGCACTGGGCGCGCGCGCGCGAGAGGAAGCTATATTTAAAAGGCGCCCGCGCGCGCGCACGAGAGTCAGATGCTACTTGAATTTTCATGACTGTCGCTCCGTTGGATATTTTGGTGGATGAGTTGCACGATCCTACTTTATTTCATAATTCGGTGTGCAAATCTTCTCCCGACAGCTGGCAAACAGTTCAACGCACAATATAGCCAGCAGCATCAGTCGGTACGACACAGAGAGTATAACGGGCCAGTCAAAGATTACATTTCCAGCCAAATTTACCTTCCGCCCTCTCGTCGTCTCCATAAAAGTGACAATGAAGAGAGCGCGGGTGAGCGAGTGGGAGGAGAGGGGGGTGAGCGAGGTATGGTACGGGAGAGCAGTGCGTTGAACCGTCAGCGCATGTTATTTTTTATCGCCTTACGAACCGCCGCACTTCCTAAATATAAACGAGCCGCCGCCGCCGCCGTGGGCCGATCCTCCTCCTCTTCTCAGTGTTGGACTCAGCTCGCGCGCGCGGCACGTGCCCGGCTCTAACGCGCTCCTCGCGCCTTGTATCATTCGTACGGGCAAAGTTGCTTTTTTTCTCCGTGTGATTTGGTGCTTCTCCTGTTCGCGGCTGGATTGTCATGGTGCTGATGCGCGAGCGACTTTTTGATAAGCTGCCGCGAGACTTCGCAGCAGTCACGGCTGCTCTCGATGCCCGACTGTGTTAGGCCAGACGAGACGGTTGCAATCGCGAACCTTGGCGTTTGTCGAAGTCTCCCTATTTTTAATGACGTGCCGTTCGCGAAATGGAGATAGATCGAGCCGATTCGTTGGAATTTCTATTGTTCGCGACGAGTGGCGTGCGAGCGCAGCTAGCAATGAGAATAAAGTGAATTAGTTTTGACGGGCGTTCGAGTGCGTCCACGAGCAATCGCGTCGCGTCCATAATGGAAAACAATGCCGACAAACGAAAAAGCCAGTTTCGCAGAGCAATAATCGATGTTCGACGGTATACGCATGTCGTACGGTTAGACGGGCATTAGTCAGCCGCGAAAAGCAGATGCCGGAAAGACCTCGACCTAATGAGATGTCGCGCGCACGCGGCCTGATCGGACGCGCGTTATCATTCGCAAGCGCTCATCATGCGAAATGCTCGTGGAACGAAAATAAAAAGGAACGACGGAATTTCGGGAAGAGCCGCTCTATAGGAAAAAGAACGAAGAGAGGAGCTTTTAAAAATAGGATGCGCGAGAGAACGGTGCACGCCAGCTATATTTCTTCGATCGCGCACGCGCAAGCTCTGCCGTTTTTTCGCCTACGGCCAAATTGAATTTGGCTAGGCCCAATCGCGTCCCCCGCACAAATGTTTAGCCTTCTCGCACTGTTCTCGCGCTGTTCTCTCACTGAGATCCGCGCACTGGATACATACTAGCTCGCGTTACGCCGAGGTTACGGCTGCAGAGTGGACGGCAATCGGCCACATCGCCATTGCTCGAACCCTCGGGCCGGCCGCGGCCGAGTTTGCTCTTTTGCACGGTCGCCGTTGCGTCGCTCAATAGACCATTGAAAAACACAGAAGCACATAGACGCACGTCCTCTCCGAGAAGCCGGCGACGCGCGCACACCTACGTCGACTTAGGTCGATTCTTGCAGCGGGCCGAAAAGCCTCGCCTGGTACCCGGACCAATATCCAGTGAATCGAGGCGCGCTTTCGAGTGGAAAGTCGATCGCATCGCGATTGAACGCGAGTCTACTCGGCAATTGGATTGCTTTTGGAATAGCCGAGTCGGACGCGCGGACAGCGACAGCTCGGTTGCGTATTACGCAAAGGCAGCCGCTCCGCCGTGAAAAGATTCGACGCCGAGGTGGCGCAGCGCGCGGATGCTTATCAGAAAGAATGCACCGTCAGCAGCGATGAACTTGGGCGCCAAGACGGAGGCGACGAGGGCGCGCGACGATTCGGTAATCCGTCGTCGTGGCAAGTCCCGCGTGTCGACGCTCCTGCAGCGCATCTCGTGGTGCGGCTGCGGGGCGGACTCGTCGCGAGTAGCGAGTCGTCCCAGGTCGCCGAACCTCGGCGCTCAGGCTACCTGGCGCTCGGGCTTGGTCGGCGTCGAGCCCACTTCCGGCGCCGCGACCTCTCTCCCGTCCGGTACGCCCGACCAGCCGTGCACGGCGCTTCGCAGCGACGTCGGCGAGCACTTTGATTTGTCGTCGATCAAATTTATCGACGAGGACGAGGACGAGGACGAGGACGACGAGGACAAGCTCACCGCCGAGCACACTGCCGATAGCGATGGTATTGTATCTAGTTTAAGGCCAAGTCTGGTCGGCCTCGTTCACCTTGCTCGCACTACAACACGCTCCGAATGGCGAGGCCAGCATAGGCCGTCCGATTGTCCGAATGTTCGATTGTCCGATTGTGCGGTGGCAAGTGCAATAATTATCGTTCCTTGCGCCAACACTTTGCGTGGCGCAGGCAGCGCGACTCTTGGGCCCGAATCCTCTAACGGCAGCAGCGACCGAAAGTGCACGCCGCTGAATTTTCTCGAATCGATGGAATCGACGCCGTCGCTTTGTCGGTCCAGCTGCGAGAGATGCGGATGACTGGAGAATGATTGCCAGCTCGAGCATTGTCATTGCACCGATGACGGACAAATGGAACGTCGACGAGTGCAATGAAAATGCTCGGGGGCTGCAGTGCGAATCTCGATAGGTTGAGTTATTTGATAAGCGTCGAGTCTCCTTCGAGGCCCGGCCATTTTTCTCAGCAAACATTTGCAATGACAATCGATGAAATGCGCTTAACTGAATCCCGTTTGTGGCAGAAGTGTTGGATGGGCCGAACAGCGGTGGCATCGAGGACGCCTGGGTGATCGCCGTCGAGAGGTGAGCTCCAATATTATTTCGTCTTTATCCCCGCGCGCCGACGTAGTCGTTTAATTAAAGGCCAAGTTTGAGCTTGAACGAGCAAACTTTAGCCGCTGTCCCTTGCACCCGCCCACCTCCCCTCCTCCCTCCTGCAACTGCTTGTTCGCCGAGACTCTTTGCTCGCGGGCAAGCTTTCCAGGCTGCTTTCGTTAAACACTTTGCCCGACTTTGTTATGCGCGTGGCGGCTCCTCTGTGCGATTTTTGCGCGCGGCCGAAAGGTCCTTGTCGCGGCAGTCCTTTCGGGTCACGGGCCAATTAGTTGGGCATTTTCGTTCGACCAATTCCGTCGATTGGGACAAAGCAATTTGCTCGAGCGTCAAGTGCGCGTCCACCGGGCCGCGCTCTCAACACCCTTTCGATACTGCACGTTTTTACATGGCTCTGCGACCAAGCCAACGACGCGTCGTTCTTCAATATTCAACTCTCGACGCTCGCTTGATCTGTGCAATTTAGAGCCGTTCAGTACATATTGTTATGCGAGAGCAAGTAGTAAAGAAACGAGCCGAGCCACTGCATGACAAAACTCGCGTAAGCACCCGTGCAAAAGTCGGCCGGTTTGCATGCCATGCGATGAAAGCATCCCACTCGCGCTCGCGCAACGGATACAGTCATTACGATATAACAACTGGCGGAGAGTGAAAAACCTGTTATCTGCTTGTGTCGTTGCAGAGGCGCGAGAGAACGTCTGAAAAGGTTGACTGCCGACAGGAAAATCAGGCCCCGAGATATCCAGGCGATATTGCATCAACAGGTAACGTATTAATTTACTCCACGCTAAAGAATTTTTTCCTTCGACCGATCCAATATCCGACTGTCGCTCGGCGAAAAATTGATCGTCGATCTCGGCTTTCGGCTTTTGGCTTTTGGCTTGGGTCAGTCGTTCGAAAATAGCGATACGCGTTTGATGTTGTTCACGCTTGGCCACTCGGCGATCTTTCCGTCGGAATGGAATTTGCTTTTATACTGCCTTTTCGTTGGATATACATTTTATACGCATACAAAGGACGTTTTTGATTGCCGGCGTACAAAATTACCGGCAACCCGTCTAAATTGCTTTGGCCCTGAATATCCGAATAGCGCCATCGACACTTTGCCGAATTTCAACTTTACAACAGCCATAATAAATGCATCAATCTTGTCATTCTTGTCATCGTCAGTGGCAGTGTAAAAAAGTAGGAAAATTCACGCGACAAAAGGATATCAAATCTCGGAAGCGCTTCTCTATTCCCACTTCACTTAACGACTAAAATGTATTTAGTGCTTAGGCTGCGAATTGCACACGCGTACAGTAGGAATAATCGATGTGCGAGCACTGCGAAAATTCATCGCGGAAGCCTTTAAATCCTTTCGCAGTGTGGAGCTTAATTGCTGCCCCGCGACAGGCAGGTGCCGCTACTCGATGAATGCTCGAGAGAAAACGTCGACGAGTGCAAGCTTGAATTTTCTTTCCCGCCTTGTAAGCTGCTCGTAATGCCGGATGAAAGGCTGAATAGCTCGCGTATTCAGGAAGCAATCTCGAGAGGGCCGACAAACAAATTTTTGTAGAGACTTTTGCCTGCGAACGAAGGCTTTGCCGTCTGCAGGCAAACACGACGCTGATCTGGAAATTCTCGCGAAACGCATTAACAATGAATGCATCCAAGCCGTGATCAGAGCACGCTGAAAAATCTGAGCACCGTGTTTTTCGGCGCATCTTACAATTACATTTGCCCGGCATGATCAATTTCTTAATCTCATCGCAATATAACTATTGCAGTTCGATAAGACATCACTGCTTTAACACGCAAACATAGGTCAGAAATATCATTAATTAGATTGATAGTAATAGAGTTAAGTACCACTTGACAAAATCAATTCGGTATTACTCGGATGCTACCAGAATAACAATGGGTGAAATCAACTACTGGCATGATGACATTGCGCCTGGATTTTATACCGACTTGGCGCCGTAACAGTACGGCGTTGTAATTTTTCAACGGAGCTCGCGCACACGTCCACGTTTGATTGTCGAGGAAGCGTTTATTTCGAGAGAGAGAGAGAGAGAGAGAGAGAGAGAGAGGGAGAGAGAGAGAGCAACCATTTTAACAGCAGCGCTAAATATAAAGTTGATTTTTAGCATTGTAGTTAACATCGGAAAAACAGAGTCAGCGCTTCGCAGATGTGCGCTCGCTTATTTCAATGCCAATTTCGGCGTAGATGTATATGCATATGAAAAATCGAGCACTTGACCTTGATTCCACGCCGTCTATGTGTGTGTGCGTGCGCTGCAGCTGACGTGAATTTCCGTTTTCTCAGCGACGCTTTTTTCCACTTATGCAATCGTCCGTGCGCGCCAGCGATCGGCTTTGTATTTGTCTTCTCTTTCTCAACGGAGGAAGATACTTGCGCTGCATTCGAGTTTTCTTTTTTGCACAGCCGGGATTAAAGGTTGATATCAAGCGGCACGGCGTTGGCCGACCATTCAAGCAATCTTGCGGCGGCTAATATGCGCAAGAGACAAATTGGTTTTGTCAGGGGATAACCGCGGTGGAGCTTCGTCACACTGGTTAATTAGACTTGTACGGCGAGTTGTTTACTTTCTGCAGGCCAGCAGCTGATTTTAGTCGTGCGAGCAACGTTAAAATCTCGAATTGAAATGAGGTGTCGATGGACTTCGACATCGGTCGCGACTGATCCGCACAGCGCGAGTAAAAAATAAAACAATTCCTTTTTCGGAGTCCGAAATGAAGCTCGACAAATTGCAAACGAAAAGAATGCGTCGCATCTCGCGGGCGAAAAATATGTTTGCATGCCTAGCTGACCCAAATCCAAGCGGACGCAGCGAATTTTCTCTTTTCAAAGGAAAAACTCGCGCGCGCGCGCGTTCTGTCCGCCTGTCCCTCCCTCCCACCCTACCTATCTCTAACTAAAATAAATGCTAAGCAATGGAGAAAAAACAAAATGAAATATCGATGTGTGTGGTTGCAGTTCGAAGGTGGAGCCTCGACGAGCAAGGAGCACGCCACGGCCAAAGATGCGACGAGCAGCGAGATCACGGTGACACTCTCCGACAAGTAAGTTCTATTCTGGATGACTGTGGATCGATAGCGGGATTTCGTAACGGCGCGTGCGATGTTTTTCGTCGATACGTACCAAATCGACACAAGGTTATACGCGACTAATAGTTACGGGCTGCAGGTCGCTTGATGAAGAGCATAAGCGCTAGCGACATAAATAATATTGCCAAGGCAGATAAGCGATAAGTTTTATGGCTGCTCAAGCAAGTTGGACAACTGAAACGCCTACAACGCGCTCTTGCACTATATTATTCGGTGCATTCGTCGAATGGGAAGATCAAGAAAGTTCAGCGATCGACAGCGGACACTGATCTATTTTACAGTTTAATCCGATTCAAATGTTTTTCTTGTTTTTGAATGATGCGATCGCGTCTATATCGTCACCTTCCAATCAGAGTAGCGAAACAAATTAAGAAGATTGGGCGTATTAAAAGACATAATCCACAGGCAGCGTGCAACTGTGTACGAAAGAGCGCGAGCCCTGCCGCTTATAATGCTCTTATTTAATAAAAGCCGAGTCGTACGACTGAAAGCATTGCACTATGCCGGTGTGGGCGCGCGCGTGTGTCCCAAGCGGATAATGCCCACTCGTCTTGTAATCCGTCTGGCGCATACGTGCTCCTCCGAAAATAAATAGAACGGCCGTCTCCTTTGACAATGGCTAGCGAGCCTCTCCAAGATCGATAAGCCCGCGCAAACCCGCCAACGATCCTTACGTAAGACTGCAACAAGGGCACCAGCGGCACGAGCGGCACGAGCGATACGAGCGAGGTTGCGATTACGTCGCATCCGATTTTTTCCTTTTTTCTTGTCTAACTGGCTCGTTCATTGTACTTTCGCAGGGACGCTGGGCTCTACCCGACGAGCAAGCTCAGCAACGGCACTGTTCCCAAGGGCGTCGGCGAGCACAGAAGCGCACTCGAGAAGCAGCAGAGCTGCCCCGAAGATTCGGACCTTCAGGTCAGTTGAGTAGAGCTTCTGACGAGCTTCAGCCTTGACGACCTCGAGCCTCGACGGTTCAAACTGCCGCGACGCGATTCGATGTCCGAGAAGTCGAAGCGAAACTGATAAAAACAAGTCGAGATCTGTCCATCTAATGATTCGATTGAGTTTCGTGACGGCGCACCGAGTGGCGCACCTCGTTTCTCGAAAGTCAGGCGATCCGGCTCATTCAATACACCGACTGGATGCAAAGCCGAGCGACATCATCGCCGATGTTTGTTGCTTGTTGCTCGTTGCCGCAGCTCCAACTGTCATTGCAAACTATCGGCACGCGTCTCTCGACTCTTGAGGCATGTTAGCTTCCGCCGCATTGCTCCTTTTTCGCGAAGCGACTATTCTTCCATTAGGCAAAGGAGCATTGTCGAGTGGTCGTTCACGAGCATTTACTGTGCAGGTGTCCGGTCTGCAGGTGGACGGCGTGCGAGCAAGCGAGCGTCGAGCCTCGAGCCCATTCCAGAATGGTCGTACGGAGGTGCTGATCGGGGAACCGGAGGGTGGCCCGCGCTCGCCCCGGGGCTCCACATCCTCGGCCGTCAATGACGCTGGGCCTGACGACGAGCCCATAGTCAGGTGAGTGATTCTTTACCTTGGTGCAGCTCAGGCAACTCCTTTATCGACCGTCGCCGACTCGCACGCGTCTCGCTTGGATGATTGCCGGGAGATGGCGTTGCTGCTCAGTCGCCTGTAGTCGCTGTAAGGATCTGGCTGGTTTTGTTTACCAGAGGCTTGTATTGCGCCAACATCTGCAATGCTTCGTTTTTCGTATAGCTGTAAAGGTCTTAAAAGCTAGCACTCAGATTTAGCTTTTTCGAAATAATCGATAAACTAGTTATGTCATTAAATAGTTCATCAAAAAAGCAAAAATTTTTTTCTCTACCATTTGTTAGTTCGTCCTCGAAAAACCCTTTAAAAAGTGAAGTATGTCTAGAGTGGCTAGACTCTAGCACTCAGATACGATGTGTGTAAAATCTAAAAGAATTCATTCTACAACAAACAAATTTACGCGCTAATCGTTAATTCACGACATGAACTACCGGCACCCGGGGTAAATCGTTGATAAATTAATTATTTAAGTAAATAAAAATAAAAAATTGTTTCCTTGCTGACGAACTTAATAACAATATATTATTAGACATCCTCATTAATTAATCGTTACTCAGGCTAGCAGATTGAATTTAAATAGAATTGGACTGTTGGACAGTACGTTATTATTAGTTTTCAATGTTTTAAATTCCATCTGGACTATCTGGAGCAAATAAGGGAGACTGATGGGTACTTGGGATTTTGCGTAAAGCATGCGCGCCGCTTTGGCGGTTGTTCCTGAGGTAGCGCCCAGCAGTGATAGGCCAAAACAATGTTTTATTTTTATTTACTTAAATAATTAATGATTGGTGTGAACTAACAATGGTTAGTGTGTACATTATTTTGTTTTTAATGAATTTTTCTAGATTCTATCGCACATCGTATCTGGGTGCTGGAGCTCAGCAGCCAAGACTTACTTTATTTTTTTAAAGGATTTTTCGAGGACGAACCAACAAATTGTAGAGGGAAAAATTGTTGATTTTTTGATGAACTATCTAATGACATAATTAGTTTATCGATTATTTCAAAGAAAGCTAAATCTGGATGCGAGCCTTTAATACCTCTATAAAGGCCTGTCAAGATTGAACGATGCCGGTCGTTCGTTCCATACGAAGACACTTTGAATCGTTTATTCCAACTGTTACTTATTGTGCGCGCGTGTAACGTAATACGGAGGAGGTTCATCATTGCGGCGAATCGCGAGCCTCACAATCGACATGAATTTTCATCGATTAAGCGAAACTAGAGAGGCTGGGTTGGGCTTTCATTTGCTGACCATGCAGCTTCCAAGACGAAAAGAAAACTGCAATCATCGTGCTGCTGGTGCACGATCAACGAGAATTACTGTGGCGTTTGAATAAAAGTCCGGGCGTATAGCTTCGCAACTTGTAAAAAAGATCGACCAATGATATTCTCATCATTGTCAGAGATAGATGATAAGGGAGCTGGAGCGTATCTCCAGCCGGCAGCCGCGTCGGAGGTGGAAACCGGCAACGTTATTTTTAACTCGGAGGGCTCGGCTGGCGCGCGCACATGAGTGCATACCTGTCTTATAATCCCGCGGCTCTCCCGGGCTAGAGGAGGCAACGGAAGAACTCGTTCTCGCATTACCGGCCGCGACGACGTATCTCCTTTATCGGCGCCCCATTGTGCCGAGCGCCGCGCGGCATTCCAGGCGCGCGGCCGGCGCGACTTCGTTGCATTTTTTCTTTCGACTTTCGCCTCGATCGATGTGGGTTTTCCGGGAGTGGCGCGCGGTCGCAAAGTCGATCCGATGGAGCTTCTGGAGGAACCGAACGCGTCCGCGAAGTGTGCTCGGCCGTCCCGGGGCGCGTTTTGCCCGACAGCTGCAGTCCGCTGCGCGACGAGGCGTCTCTCGCCAGCAGAGCCGGTGGCTCTCCGATCTGCTGCCGTCGCGCTTTTCGCTAGCTCGCCAGGCCAAGAGACCCCGAGCCGATCGGTCGCCAGGGCCTCGTCGACAATGTCATTGACGCAAAAACAACGAGCGCCTGCTCTCCGCGAACTGCCCGTCTAGGCGTGAACGGGCTTTTTGTGGAGCAACCTGGCAAGCGTCGTCGCGAGCGCGCTCATTGTTTTCGAGTGGCTCCATTTTGAACGGCACTCGTAAATAGCTGACCGACTTTCGTACCGATCTTGCGATCTCGCGATCTCGCGATCTCGCGGAACTGGCGGCCGAGAGAGATCGATTCGTATAAAGGGGCATCGAGCTGGAGTCGCCGTGGAGGTGTCCGCGCGACTTTCTCACGACGGCGACCGCGATCGCCGAGGAGAGACTCGAGACGATGCGCGCAGACCAGCCATCGAAATCGATATGTGCGCACTCGCCGCAGTCTGCAGCCAGTCTGCTGCGGCTCGCTCCTTTCCGCAGCGCCGCTTGGCGCAGTCAGCGGAACCGATTGCCATTTGGCTGGGGATCGCGTTGTGTTCGACTCGATCGACTAATTGGACGCAACGTTTTTGTTTTTTTTTTTGGCAACAAAGGACGTCTCGAGAGCAAACTAGCCGCAATGGTCGCACGTCGAGCCGCACAGCGTGCAACAATCGGGCCTGCATTATGTCCGCGTACGTGTGGCATGTAAAGCTTCCGGTGTTTCGCGGGTTCCGGCACGGCATGGCAGCAGGAAGGAGCGTGGATAAAAGAGAGCGAATGAAAGGAGACGAGACGCACCCGGCAGCATTGTGCCGCGCCCGCGTGCTGCCCAATTTCCAGGAAAGCGCATTACGCGCACGCCCTCTCGATCCAGCTTGCTCGTCTTTCGACCTCCGTCCAGATTGGGTCGGGTTTTTCGAGTCAGCGCAACGCAGCTCGGCTAATTATAATCAGCTGGCAGTGCGGAGAGGGGCGCTTCGACGAAAATGTGCTTCGCCGTCGCGTGTCTCGAAGCAGAAATCAAAGTGCGTTCGCCGATCGGACGCTAAGTGCACGCACTCGAGCGCGCCTCTTTACCGTTGCGCCGCTCGTATAACGCGACGGACGCCGGCTGTCTCCGCCCTTCGGATGGCGCTGCGTCGATGATCTCGCGCGCGCCCCCCTGGCCTGCACGCGATGCCCTCGAGCGAGAGCTGCTCGCCGTTCGCCACTCTTCGGGCGTGAGCCGCCTGCTGGCATCGACTCTTCTAACTGTCCAATTAATCTGTCAGTTGTCAGTGACCTCACAGCGACCTCGCCAAACGCTTGCCATTGCTTTCTTCGGTAATGAACCACTGTAAGAGCAGGGTCCAACCCGAGGCATCAATAATCCTCGTTGCCGGACGGCAAACCAGAACTGTTGCCAAGAACAATCGACCAAACGAATATCTACTGCAGGTGATTTATAGAAACGCCGGAAGATTGTCGATTGAGACCTACGTGCAACCTGGTCACAATTGTAACAAGTTTTACTACTCTGAGATTTGTGCGCGACATCTCTTACAATTTAACGACGACCTAGCGTATCGTTGAGCCAATTACGAGATACAAGTGCAGCATTAAATATCAATCTGAATTTAGCAATCTGATTTATTATTCAATGTCATATACGTCAGAAAAGGGCGTTTCAGAAAAGCGAGCAGGCAGTTGGATTCGATTATAAACCGCGAAGCTGCGCAATCGATGAAAATCGAATGGGATACCAACTGCAAAACACAACGGACGGGACAGGCCGTGTGTTGCTCGGCTGATTTCATCGACGAGCAATGCAGTGGGTGCTGCTGCGCCCTGGCCACGTTTTACGAACGCCTCGTTTTTTTTCTCGGGGATGAGAACCGCGGGGGCCGTATATAGCCCATTGTCAAGGTTCCATGCGTCGGCGCGCGCGCGCCGCGATTCTTTACGACGACGGGGGCAGCTCGACAAAGGGAATCTCTCTCCCTCTCTCTCTCTCTCTCTCGCTGTGGGCGAGAAGCAACGGAGAAAGTAAAAATTCTGAGGAGGCCCGCTCACCTTCGGAAAGTAGTGACGATCGTTACGGTACGACTGTTATTTGTTGTGGATGCAGCTCTGCCCGCACAGGAGAGGGCCCCTTTGGGAAATTGGCTTCTCTTCTTTAGTGGGCCACAGCTCGTAGCTTACGCGTGGATTGATTTGTACTGCCGCTGCCAGAATTGCCGGGTCTGACGACACCAAAGAAACGCAGCGCATTCGCGAAAGAACCCCTTAGCGCATGCCGGTTCGCCACGCCAGCGGAGAAACAACGAGCTTGTCTCTGACCTTCCTCAGGGGAACTGTTGATTGCCATATGCGCATGATTAAACCCAGTGGCCTTGGACTCGTCTCGCGTTTTGCGCTGATGCGCGTTTGTATAACTCCAATTGAGCAGTGAGAACCTCTGGCTATAGCCGCCGATGCTGCTGCTGATGCGCGTGGGATTTTCCACGGATCCGACGAGTGTGCGAGTTTTCGGAGCGCTTTCCAGGCTCGTTCGAGTAGGGCTCCTCCCTCTTCCTCCTGTCGGCTGTGGAGGAGCCACATGCACAGACGAGCACTGCACACGCGGCGTTGCATCGCGTTGCGTCTGCTTTTAAACGCGCAGCTCGCACGAATCGCTCGACAAGGGAACTTGAGAAAATGCCGTTCCACGCGGAATTTCGGCTGGATAATGGCCCGGAGAACAATCGGACGTTGACCTACTTACGCGAAAGCTTGTTCGTCAAGGTGGCGCGTTGCGCGCTTATAGCGCCGTTCAATCGGATAGCTCGCGACGATCCTCTCTCGGTTTTACGCGGCTGATTGCCAATAGTGCCTTCTCCTCGCGCGCGCGCACAATGCGCAATGGACACTTTTCGAGCACTGATCGCCAACGGGAGATGGACGTAGCGTTACGTTACGCGCCTGTCAGTCTCGTATGATCTTTCAATTGGCCAATTTTCAGCTACCCGCTAACATAAATGTTCTTTCCACAGATTCCACTAATTTCAAATGGCAATATTTCAAAGCCCTCGACTCGCTGATTCCAATGTCGTTATGTGTTTATCGCGTAGATAGCCAT